TCTATCTATAGGTATTCTCATGCGCAAATCCGTTGATCAATCATGTATCTTGATACTCATAAAATAGATAGAAATATATATATGATTTATCGTCTGTACAACTCTTGCTGCCCAATTATTAGCCTTTAGTAATTAGATTTCAACACCTACTTTGAATGACCTAACTAATAAACTTGGAGGGGCTGTAGGAGAAGAAAAGCAACAATGATTTACCTCGAACCTGGAAGCGAAACCTTCGAATAAGTCTATTTCTCCTTCTTCTCCCTCACCCTTCCGTTCTTTCTTCTCTTTCTTGGTCCTTCGCTGGAAACAAAAATGCAGCAACTAGCGTTTGTTTCTCCATTATTTTTCTTCGCTGAAAATTACAGCAGTTGTTGCTGCCTAGGGCTTTTAGCCCAATCTCTCTCTTCTTTTTCTTTTAAAAAAATAACTAATGACTTATTTGCCCTTAACTTAAATTATAAGGTATTACATTCTCCTCACCTTAAGAAATTCGGTCCCCGAATTTAAACAAGTGTGTACCTGTAGGCCAAAACAAGTGAGGATACTTGACTCGCATATCATTTTCCAACTCCCAAGTAGCTTCTTCAATGGTCTGGTTTCTCCATAAGGCTTTCATGGACATAATTTCTCTTGACCTTAACTTTCTTATTTGTTTGTCAACAATAGTTACTGGTTCCTCTTCATATGTTAAGTTCTCAGCAATTTGTATAGTCGGTGCTTCAAATACATGAGAGGAGTCTAAGATAAATTTTCTTCGCAGACCTACAAAATTGGACGAGTAACATACATCTCGAGGGAAGTTTCAACTGATATAACACTACTCTCTCCCGGTCCAGAAATCTTATATGGCCTTACATATCTCGAGCTCAATTTAGCTTCTTCTTATTTTTTTTCTGTTGAATTACTTCATGCCTTTTATGGAGGGATTCTAAGGAAAATTTGGTCCCGAACTATTTACTCTTAATATCCTTCTATGTGTAGAAGATTTTCATCCTTTTGAACTATGAGCAACTTAGTTGAACCTTGTACATTACAAAGCTTGATTCCAAATCCTAATACATTATCCTCATCAACTTCGAACTATTTGGTAGGAAAACAACATTACATAACATAGACAGCTTCATATAGAGTCTTCTGAGAGGAAAATAACTCATTCACCCACAATGACATATCAATTAAACCATATAATTATGATCTGGTTAGTTATGCAATTCTTTTCCTCGATTCTATCTTGACCAACATCGTATACATGTCGAACAAAAGAAGATTGCCCCACACGAGTAGAAACCATTAAAAGTATTACTCAATGTCATGAGCATTCACCATTTCCAACTCTTTACTACAATTCCCATAAAAGAATTCCTTGGTTTTGGTCTTCTTGACTGAATGTTTGATTGTCCACTTATCATGTTACAAGTTTCTAATCTTTTTAACAATGTCAACTATCTCAAAATAGGTTAACGTCTTAATATGTAGGGTTGTTCCAGGGACTAACTAACCTTCCAACAAACCTCTAAATCATAAATACTTCTTTAGGTAATAAGTAGGGAGCATATCTAGCCAATTGAATAATCCGGAGCCACGTATTAGTTCCAACCATCATTTTGAACAAAATCCTTATCAACTACTCATTTTCAATTGTACAGAAAGAAACAATCCATAATAACTTAGTGAATCGCCTCAAGTCTTTGGTGTTCTCCTACTGGTGTTTTGAATAATACAATATTATACCATGTATTTTCTCATGTTCATTGTTTGTACGCTACCAGAACTTCAACACTTTTACTGAAACATGCTAGAGTTCATAAAGCTTTAAGTATTTCACCCAAGAATCTTTTTCAAGAACCTTTAAGACCTTTAAGGATCTTTGAGTTGTTATAACCTCGGAGTTCTATCTGTAGAAACTCTCCAGGTTACTTTTTTTTTCTTTGAAAAATCTGAATCTTTGTAGCTGCCTGGAGCTGGTCTTGGGCCTTACTCTATTGCTTGAATCTATTTGTTCTGTCAATCAATATCTCTTGTTCGGTACCGGAAGATAAGTGCCCTAACATTAACACTCTCATGTTTCTAAAGTGCAGAGTACTCTTTTCAGAAAAAAGATACATTACCTATCACATGGGTGCACAAAAATCCCTCAAAGCAACATAACAACCTTTTTACTGGCCTTCTCCACTATTTCAGTAAGCTCCCTTTACATGGAAGAGACAAATGTTTACAACTGTGTTATTTTATGCCTCCGAACCTTTGACTACTCGTGTTAATAGATGTCTAAATCCAAGATATGTGATGGAGAGATAAACAATGTTAGATTCATTTATTTGACTCTATCAGTCCACATACAAGACGGAGTAAGAAAAAAAAGACAAGACACATCCTATCACGTCCTCGCAGAATCACAATTATAGAAATGGCCAACAACATAACCATAATTGAGATTCTATTACTAATGTGTGCTCCATAAGTCACAAGAATAACCTGACTCTGATACCAACTTTGTCACGACCCAATTTAGAACCGTGACCGGCGCTAAGGGGAAGAATTCCAAAGCAAGCCTTAACCAGAAATCTACAGAAAATCGGGCAGAGTTTCCTCTGTTTTTAGGTTTATCCTGACTTTTCCTGTCTCAGAAATTCACAACACAACCAATAACAACTATAAGCCACAACATAATATCCTTCAATGATCTAATTCTCACTTATCAAACCTAATTCATTTCCAAATTATGAAAACAAGTTCCAACTAGTCACTTGACTATAATATGAAGGACTAATCATGACTCAAATCAAAGGAATGAAAAATGGAGCGACTCTAAGAGTTTTTAAAGGAACTAAATAAACCAATAACAAATAAATAGTTCTCTTGCCACGCGAAGCAATGCGGGGCTCACCAGATGCTACCAAATCACTCTCTAGTTAATGAAATCCTCTTCAATACCACCTGAGTTTTCTGTAAAAACAATTAGCGAGGAGTGAGACGCTAGCTCAGTGAGTAATAACACTTAACCACAAACATTTTAGTGAGGGACAAGTCAGAAAACATGCTAGCATAACAGTCAAAATAATAAAACCGCCTTTTTTGAAAACGATAACAATATTCAATCTTATTTGCCTCATATAAGCAAAATCAATAGGAATACTTAATAGTAAACTCAGAAAAATATTTTCATATCAAATCTTATAGCTGGGAGGTTTCCAAGGATGAATCATGTAATCAGTGTGGCCTTCTCTTTAAGAAGTACCAATAACAGTGAACTCCTCATAAATGAGTTAAGTACTCATATCAGTAGATCCCTACTCGAGGGATATCAGTAATAGACTAGCAAGGTCTTTATCAGTAATCAGTAACTACAAGGTGCACCAGGTCTAACGAACCCGATGTTAGCTACGGGATTCATCAAGGTCTACTCCCTGTTTAAACTTTTCCTGTAATCAGTAGAAGCATTTCAAAATTGAACAGAGCATTTAAATCTTATTAAATCATATCATTTCAAAGTTTAACAATCACCTGTCAAAAACTATTTCTCAAATAAGTGTAAAATCTTTTCAATACCAGTAATCATATCTTGTAAGAATGCGATCATCTCAAATAATATTTTCAGTATCATATCAAGTAAAAGACTTGTCCCACATGCAAGTTCAAAACATTCAGTAACACATTTACTTTATAAACCATGTAAAAATCATGAAATTTGTGAAATACAAATTGTGGTAAGATTACTACTCACAGTACTAGTGCTGAAATACCAAGCTCGTAACTCGAGTAATCCGTATGAATCCCTTTGGTCAATCTATAATCACATTCATACCAATTTCCAGTTAGATTCTATGTTTAAGCTAATTCTATAACTATTTAAAATATTCAACCCTCAAGTTTCAGGTTTGATTCTCAATATGTTAAAGTATCTTATTCTATAACGATATATTCCTTCAATTTCAGCAGCAACAAGTTAAAACCTCTAAGTATTCATATCTTGCGGTTGCTCAAACAATTTTCTTGGTTATTACTACAATTAACAACAACTCAAGCCCAACATTACAATGTAATTCCAACTAATGCTACTGGGAGCATATCTGGCAGTAGGAGTAGTATAAAATATACGTCTATCTATAGGTATTCTCATGCCCAAATCCATTGATCAATCATGTATCTTGATACTCATAAAATAGATAGAAATATATATATGATTTATCGTCTGTACAACCCTTGCTGCCCAATTATTAACCTTTAGTAATTAGATTTCAACACCTACTTTGAATGACCTAACTAATAATTTTGGAGGGGCTGTAGGAGAAGAAAAGCAACAATGATTTACCTCGAACCTAGAAGCGAAACCTTCAAATAAGTCTCTTTCTCCTTCTTCTCCCTCATCCTTCCGTTCTTTCTTCTCTTTCTTGGTCCTTCGCTGGAAACAAAAACGCAGCAACTAGCGTTTGTTTCTCCTTATTTTTTTCTTCGCTGAAATTTACAGCAGTTGTTGCTGCCTAGGGCTTTTAGCCCAATCTCTCTCTTCTTTTTCTTTTAAAAAAATAACTAATGACTTATTTGCCCTTAACTTAAATTATAGGGTATTACAGTAAGAGTATCAAGATACTACTTTCCATTTTGGACTCAAACACTAGTTCTTAAATTTTTGAAATAATAATCTATGTTTAAGAAAGTACACTCTCTATGTTTCAGAAAGTATAATAATATTTGTTGTGAGTAATGGTAAAGTGGCTATATAGTAGGAGTATATTTTATGATTGTCAATTGTGAAATAAGTGTTGAAGTTGTTGGTAGCTAATATGATATTTTCAAATCATGATTTTGGAGAATATGAGATACAATTAACATGAAATTATGTGTCCAAACACAATTTTATCTCATAATTTCATATTATACTATGATATCGCATGACAAAACGTCTGTTAAGTTTCCCTCCGTTGATTTAAGTAAGAAGTTAGAAAAAATGAAAAGAAAAGACCCATCCTCAAAATATTATATTGGGTCCATGTGTCTTTATCTGGAAGATGTTTTGTATGAAGGCATATCGGACACGTAACTTTGACAGGTTAAGCCTTTAAATATTAATGCCCCTATTCGCTTTTCCTCAGTCGTCACCTCATTTTCTAAATGGTGCGGGTCACTCTGTTTCTGCTGCTGCTACTTGTATCCGATGTAGTCTCCGACCACTTCATCGTTGAAACTCTTCCTGGATTTCATGGAAAACTTCCATTTACACTCGAAACTGGGTAGGTAGATAGTACTAATTTTGTCATTCCCTATGAAAATACACACTAAATTGTTATGTTCATCAGTTACATTGGTGTTGGAGAAGAGGAAAAAGTGCAGCTATTTTATTTCTTTGTACCATCTGAGAGAGACCCACTAAATGACCCTCTCATGATTTGGCTCACTGGAGGTCCTGGTTGTTCTGGTCTGTCTTCCTTTGTATATGAGATTGGTATGTCAATCAATTTTATTCCATGTACTTGTGTTTAATTTTCAATCAATTTCGATTTTTGTAATTTTATACACGCAGCTTTTTACACTATATATGTGGCTGTTCTAAATGGAGAAAAACACGAAGATGATCTTTTATCTTCGAAATTAGATTAGAAGATTTTATTTATTTTTTTATTTATTTTGTTTTTTTACAAAAAAGAGGGTTTTGGTAGACAGTTAGAGTAATGAGTATATTGCTAGTAATGTAAGGATTAGTAATGACATAATCTAATTTTTTCGAAGGTCTAAGTTTCTAGAAAAGTCTAGTTAGTCACTTGGATAAGCATCTCGTAGAAATATCTAGATATTCTAGAGTAGAAGATAGTTACTAGAATTGTCTTGTAGATGTATCGAGAAGATATTGGATATTGACACAGTATACAGTTCATCCATGGTAAATTCCATGCCTCCACTAACAAGGGTTTATTATCGAAGTGGTAAATTCACCCCCGAATTACCTCATTCTTACCATCCTCATATTATACCATTTTTCAGCATAGCAATCTTGTGTATTACATGTTTTCCCCATAACTTTGAATGTAACCCTTGATGACCATATAAAGGGGGTGTGCCCCTAGTTAATAGCACACAACAACAGTGTTCTAATAGGCAATTTCAGAGCTTATACCTTCTATATCAATGTCTATGATGGGAGATTCGCCTTTCATAGTAGGGGAGATGTATTCTAGCTTAAACCCTGCATTCGAGATATCGAAATTATCCCAAATTGAGCTTCTCTTTTCTGGCTCTGCTTGCCCCTCTTCTACTATATCCGCCCATGATTTGTGTCCGGTATTGGATGGGGAATGATTCCCAGTACTTGCTGAAGCCTGCAATACAGCATCTCACTGTTTCTGAGCTTCCTTTTCAGCAGCTTAATTGGTTTCCTTGTATTCTGGGTAACCTTTCATGTGCTGCTCCTGATATGCTGCACATAAGATTTTCCTGGTTAATCTATCATTATTAAAAACTATTCGGAGGCTAACATGAGGAACCATCATACACATGTTCCAGGTGTGAGGTGAAGCACATTCTGTTACCATAAGTTTTGATAATCCTACTAAAACTTCTAATTTCACTTTTATAAATTGGTTTAGTGGACACTCAGTAACTGCCAAAGACATATTTCGGGATGGTATTTACTTTGAAGTTCAGTATGCAAATAAAATCATTATAGCAACGTTGTCAATAAATTGGGACAAATAAATACTGAAAACTAGTAAAGGTTCGATAAAGGGATCATAAATAATGTTCACTATGTATCAATATATGTAAACAAGGTGCAAGCACTACGGATGATGGCTAAAAGATCAATTTTGGGTCTCCCGAGTCTAAGAGTCAAAATTATGCATTCAAGTATTCATTAGGGTAACAGGAAAAATAAGATTGTTCTGAACAAGTGTATGCTTCTTGTTTGGATTATTGTGTCTCAAAAGTTAAATAAGTAGTAGAAATGACCTTGATGCTTCTTTCAGGCCCTTTAACCTTTGATTATGCAAATTCTAATGGAAATTTCCCAAAACTGGAGTTGAACTCATATTCTTGGACCAAGGTCTTGTAAGCTCACTCTTTTACAATTTGCTTATATTTTCATTGTTGCTCGTCTATATAAGCAGTAAACTAATATGGTTTTGATTACTAGGTGGCCAACATAATATTTATAGATCAACCTGCTGGCACAGGCTACTCATATGCAAACACTTCAGAAGCTTACAACTGCAATGATACCCTCTCTGTAACTCTAACTTATGACTTCCTTAGAAAGGTGAGACAATTTTGTTCTGAGCAAATTCATTCAATTTTTATGTGTAGCTCAAATTGCTTCTATAGATGTTTAAGACTAAACTTCAATTAAAGAAAGGAGTTAAAGAACGAAATATTCGCAACCTCTTGAGATTGATTCTTCCAAAGTTTCCAAATTCGCTTTAGAGATTGAGCAAGTGTGATCAGTCTAGGTCGTGGCGTTCGGGTGATGTCTACCAGAATAACAACCCGTAGCCTAGTGGAGGTCAAACCCTCTTTGACAAGATTACAGACTTGGAACATTCATGACTCGTGTCAAGCAAAATCAAGGCGAGCACTAAGTTCAATTTTTTTTTTTTGTGTTTGTAGCAAAAAGTAGTTAGTTCCATGGTCTGCTAGGTTATAAATATTGAATACAGTCCTGGAAATATATTGATTCGTTGTAGTTGAATTTGTTATCCATTGGTATTCCAAATCTTGAAAAAAGAAACTTTACAATTTGAGACCTGATAAAAAAAAGTGATGAGTCTGGCGTGTTTGAATGTTATTTTCCAACAACATGTATTTATCTAACCCATGAAACTTTCATAAGCAAATTCATGAGACTGAAATTGTTGTGCTGTAGTGGCTTATGGATCATCCCGAGTATCTCAACAATCCACTATATGTTGGTGGTGATTCCTACTCAGGCATTTTTGTTGCACCGCTTACTCGCAAAATATACGATGGTATTGTATCTTGTACCTGAGTTCAGGATCAGTCTTTTTGTTATCTCGGTTCGTGACCTTTTTCTTTCTCTCAAGGTATTGAAGTTGGTGACAAGCCTCGACTGAATATCAAAGTATGAACTCCACTGCATTCAGTTGCTCACCTCTTCTTTCTGTTTTCATTATTGATACTTCTCATTTTAAGTTCTGCTGTCAAACCTGAGGTTTTGGATTGAATGTAGGGATACATACAAGGCAATGCTCTAACAGATAGATACATCGACTCCAATGGTAGAATCAAATATGCTAATCGTATGGGACTTATTTCAGATAAGATCTATCAGGTATCTAATAGCTTATGTTCTGTACTCTACGTTGGGTAAATTAACTTCTATTTAACAACGGTCTAGAAGAAAAAATTAGCAATTGACTTCTTCAGTAGTTCAACTAGAAATTATGAAGCGAAGTCCTGCCAAAGCTATGCTAACAAAGTGAAGTCCTTGAATTAAAACAATTAACTTCTTTGGTAGTTCAACTAGAAATTAATTATGCAACTAATCTTCCTTATGTTACTGTGTAGTCCGCTAAAACAAATTGCAATGGGAGTTACTTTGACGTTGATCCACATAACATATTATGTCTAAATGATCTTCAGAAAGTAACAAAGGTAAGGGATCAAATTTTGCACTTATAAAATATTAAGATATTTTCAAAGTTCAATTATGCTTAATAGTCAATCATTGCATGTGATTAGTGTCTCAAGAACATACGACGGGCGCAAATTTTAGAGCCTTACTGTGACCTTCCATATTTAATGGGCATTCTCCAAGAAACTCCTACAAATGGCCAGTCAGTATTTCCAATTGCAGGACCATGGTGTCGAGTAAGTCTCTGTTTCTTCCACTTAACAAGGCCTTCTTAGCATCATGTATTGTGTTAATTCTAGTGGTTTATTATACAAGAATTTGATGAGTTAACTTTTTAAACCCCAAAACCAGGAAAAAAATTACATATACTCGTATGTTTGGGCAAATGATAAAGTTGTCCAGAAAGCACTAAACGTTCGTGAGGTATGCAAATACAATTTTATTCCTAGTGTCCATAACTCCATATCCAATGCTGCCCGCTTGAAGTAGGTTTTTGAATGATAAGGTCATGTAAAAATACCAGGGAACGACATTGGAGTGGGTGAGATGCAATGAAAGCATGCATTATAGAGGTAAGGAGAGAACCGAGTCATATGTGTATGATGTCCCAAGTGCCATTGATGATCATCGCCATCTCACCAGCAAATCCTGTCGAGCACTAATTTATAGGTATTACCCCAAGATAGCTTTTCTTCTTCTTTATGTTACACTGTTCTTCAAAGTGACCTTAATATATTAGTTACTAATCTTCGAAAGATCTTCCTTTGTGTTTTACTAATCACAAGATAATGGAAAAAACCAAAAGAAAAAGAAACAAGAGGTATCAACTTGAGTGTTCTGGCTTAAGAAAATAAGCAATTATTAGAAGAGACTGTTTGATAATTTTTTACTTTGACAGTGGTGACCATGACATGGTTGTTCCTCATTTGAGCACGGAAGAATGGATAGACACTTTGAAACTGCCAATTGCAGATGATTGGGAGCCTTGGTTTGTTGATGCTCAAGTTGCAGGGTTGGTTCCTTCGTCTCTAATGCATTTTTTACTCACCCGATATTTGTTGATTTTTCTAATACTTTGTATATGTACCAATATTTGTTGATACTTTGTTTATGTAGATACAAAGTGAAGTATTTGCAAAATGATTATGAGCTGACATATGCAACTGTTAAGGTAAGGATTATTCCCTATAGCAACAACTCTAAACCAAAATCATTGCATCTTAATATTCCTTGAATTAATTTATTTAGGGTGCGGGTCATACAGCTCCTGAATACAAGCCGGAACAATGCCTGCCCATGGTTGATAGGTGGTTTTCCGGTGACCCTCTTTAATTTCACCCTTGCAAGACATTAATGTACTCGTTTGTTTCTCTCGATCACATAAGTTGCTTCTTTGAGCAACATCAGACATTAAGCTTGTCTGTCATGTAATCTAGACATGGAATATCACACGTTAGAGGTTGCGGTAATTATATTTGTTTATACTTTGTAGTATGAGAAGTTCAAGAAAGGAAGTACTTGTCGAATTTATTCTGGTTTTTACGAATCAGACCCGTGGAGCTCGTATTTAACTTAGATAAAACTTCTTTCCTCCTTACTTTCCCACATTAAATTCAACTTTTTCAGATTTTTGCTCTGTTTAACCAAATCTATTACTTGAAATCATGGTACAGATGTAAACAGCAGCCCAGTGTACTAGAACTCCGGCAATGTGCGGGTCTAGGGAAGGGCCGGACTACAATGGTCCATTGTATGTAGTTTTAACCTGCATTCTTCAAGAGGCCGTTTTCATGGGTTGAACTAGTGACCTCCACTTTTCCATATTAAATTCAACTTTTCAGATTTATGTAAAGGGAAACTGGTGCCCTAAATGGTACAGGCCTATTGTACGCAGCCTTATTCTGCATTTCAGCAAGAGATTGTTTCTACAATTTGAACTCGTGACTTCTTAATCACATGTCAACAACTTTAACAGTTACGTCAAAACTCTATTCTTATGGCACGAATGTATTTGATGAAATATAAAGGATGCAAATGTTTGATGAAAGTAAGAGCCTCAGAACCTAGGATATCTTTTCATAGCAAATAGATGCGGATTTATTTGAGAATTTTGTTACTTGGGGAAATATTTAGGGATTTTTGCTAGGGATTAATCCTTGGGAATTTACCTAGAATTTTTATTACTTGGGGACATAGTGGGGATGTTTTTGGTTAATTCTAATTGCAGCGGATTTAACTAAGAATTTTTTTTTTGGAGATTTATAAATGAACCAAATTTTAAACGGATGATATAGATAAGTCTTTTTTAAAAATTCGATGACATGTTTGAGCATTTTTCCTAGATTTTTAGGCAAATAGTACAACTCCATTTACGGCGGAATCATTCATTTAACTAATAGGTCAGCTGATTTTAATCTGGTAACGTTTAGCATTCTTTTTGAATGTATGTATAAATCATTAAGGGAAAAATCACGCCCTATACACATTTAAGAGTCAATTTTACGGGTTTTAAACATACTTTTAAAAAATTCTTACTTATAACAGTTTATTTACGAGTTATGACACATCATTTAAAGTTAATTTTATTTAAAAATCAATTTTCATTTATCTAATAAATGATTAATCTATTTATGGTTTTTTATTATTAATTAATAATATGTAATTAAATTGATTTATGTTCCTTTTTTAAATTTGAAATTATCAGTTACATGTGTAAATTTCATATATGACATATTTTATAGAACTATTTTCAAGCTATAACAGTAGATTTAGACTTTTAAGTTATGGCATAAAAAATTCCAGGTCATAACAAGTTAAAAAAATGTTTTTATTAATTGGAAAAAATTTAAAAAATAAATAAAAAGATAAACGAAAATTTAAAAAAAGGGGAATTAGAAATAATAAAGTAAAAAACTGAAATTGTGGGTTGTAATTTAATTTGAATTTATTGTAGATAATTAATGATTAGCATAAAATAAGGGATCCAAACTAATTAAGAATATTCAGTTTCCTTAATTCACTCTAATTTATTAAAATTAATTCAAAAATCTGATTTTAAAAATCAATTTCCATTTATTTAATAAATGATTATTCTATTTATGGTTTTTTTATTATTAATTAATAATATGTAATTAATAAGAAAAAAATGAAAAAAAAAACGGAAATAGGGGTGTCAATTAAATTTGAATTAATTTAAGATAATTATTAATTAGCATGAATTAAGGAATCTCAAACTAATTAAGAATATTCAGTTTCCTTAATTCACTCTAATTTGTTAAAATTAATTCAAAAATCTGATTTTATCCATTTTTCTTCCACATTTCTCTCTTTTCAATTTTCTTTTCCGGCCTTTCACTTCCCGCTTGAGGAACAGTCTCTGGATTTTCTTCCAAAATTTTTGTCACTGGCGACTAATTGAAGTTTTTTTTTTGTTTGAAAAATCCTTTTTTTTTTGTGATGGACAACTACGTATCAATATTAATTAAACATGGCGGAAGATAGGATCCTTCAGGTTAGTATTTTTAATTGTTTACTATATTTGGATTTCAGTGAAATGAAAAAAAAAAAAAAAAACTTGTAAATCACATTTTGTGATTTTGTTTTTGTACATCGTCACTATATTGAATGTGATATTTTTTTTTATAAACAATACGTTTTGTTCATAATACGTATTAGTTGTTGTGAAACTGTAATATTAGTGATTTTTCTTGGTAAGTTTCTATTTTTTGGTAGGGGTTTAATGTTACTATATTTTTTATTTTTTGGTTATTTTTTATACTGACAAAACAATGATTTCGTGAGAAGTTGCTGCAATAAATGAAAGATTTGAGTATAAATGTATAACATATAATTTTTTTTATTGTTGTAGATTGGGTACGCATATCAAAATTATAATATTGATTACTGTTTTTTTCCTGAAAAATAAATTAAAATGTATAGTTTTGAATGAATTTGTTAGTATAATATGTGTAATGAATTTGGTATGAAAGTGTATTCACTAATGTGAAAAAAAGGTTATTTAGACTTTTGAAAAATTGTATGACAGTTGTTTTAAGTTGGTATGAAAGTGTGTTAACTAGTTAGTAAAAAAAGTTATTTAGAATTTTGAATAATTGTATGAAAAATGTTTTTATTAAGTGGGTATGATCTGAAATCTGTTTGTAGTTTACTGTCTGAATGATTTTTGTATGAAAAATAATGATAAGTGTGTATAATTTTATTTTATTTTGTATTATGTAAGACTAATTGTTATTTTTTAAAAATGAAATAGGGAAATATGTTGGTTTTCAGATGGAGGGGATTATATATGAGTATTCTAGTCTTTATAGTGGTCTAGTAAGTGCGATAACATCACAGCTAATGATAGATGTTAATATTCACAATATAGAGATAAAATATATAGTTAGTGATAGATGTCCCCCTGTTAGTATCCACAATGATGTTGGTGTGCGGATTTTTTAGATCAAAAGAAAGCTAATGTAGATTTCTTTACGATTTCATATACTTGGAAATAAAATTTATTCCAAATTAATATATAAGATAGTGTAAATATTTGTACAGGTTTCCGATTTCAAATTCCAGATTTCATATGTGTGATTCATTAATTATTCATACTGATTTCATATACTTGGAAATACAATTTATTTCAGATTAATATATAAGATAGTGTAAACATTTGTACAGATTTCAAATTTTAGATTCCAGATTTCATATACACGATTCATTAATTATTCATACTGATTTAATATACTCGGAAATAAAATGTATTCCAGATTAATATATAAGATAGTGTAAATATATAACAAACTTTATACCAATCTTATTCAAGTTTCATTCCAACACGAACTTCAGCTTATATCACACATATCATACCAACAATAAATCAAATTTGTATGAATAATTAATGAATCGCGTATATGAAATCTGGAATCTAAAATTTGAAATCTGTACAAATATTTACACTATCTTATATATTAATCTGGAATAAATTTTATTTCCAAGTATATGAAATCTGTATGAATAATTAATGAATCACGCATATGAAATCTGGAATTTGAAATCGGAAACCTGTACAAATATTTACACTATCTTATATATTAATTTGAAATAAATTTTATTTCCAAGTATATGAAATCGTAAAGAAATCTACATTAGCTTTCTTTTGATCTAAAAAAAATCCGTACACCAACATCATTGTGGATACTAACAGGGGGACATCTATCACTAACTATATATTTTATTTCTATATTGTGAATATTAACATCTATCATTAGCTGCGATGTTATCGCACTTACTAGACCACTATAAAGACTAGAATACTCATATATAATCCCCTCCATCTGAAAACCAACATATTTCCCTATTTCATTTTTAAAAAATAACAATTAGTCTTACATAATACAAAATAAAATAAAATTATACACACTTATCATTATTTTTTCATACAAAAATTATTCAGACAGTAAACTACAAACAGATTTCATTAAAAAATAAAATTTTAGATTTCATACCTACTTAATAAAAACATTTTCATACAATTATTCAAAATTCTAAATAACTCTTTTTACTAACTAGTTAACACACTTTCATACCAACTTAAAACAACTGTCATACAATTTTTCAAAAGTCTAAATAACCTTTTTTTCACATTAGTGAATACACTTTCATACCAAATTCATTACACTTATACTAACAAATTCATTCAAAACTATACATTTTAATTTATTTTTTCAGGAAAAAAACAGTAATCAATATTATAATTTTGATATCGTACCCAATCTACAACGATAAAAAAATTTATATGTTATACATTTATACTCAAATCTTTCATATATTGCGGCAACTTCTCACGAAATCATTGTTTTGTCAGTATAAAAAATAACCAAAAAACAAAAAATATAGTGACATTAAACCCCTACCAAAAAACAGAAACTTACCAAGAAAATCACTAATATTACAATTTCACATCAACTAATACGTATTATGAACAAAACGTATTGTTTATAAAAAAAAATATCACATTCAATATAGTGACGATGTACAAAAACAAAATCACAAAATGTGATTTACAGTTTTTTTTTTTTTCATTTCACTGAAATCCAAATACAAATAGTAAACAATTAAAAATACTAACCTGAAGGATCCCATCTTCTGCCATGTTTAATTAATATTGATACGTAGTTGTCCATCACAAAAAAAAAGGATTTTTCAAACAAAAAAAAAACTTCAATTAGTCGCCAGTGACAAAATTTCTGAAAGAAAATTGAAGAGAGAAACGTGGAAGAAAAATGGATAAAATAAGATTTTTGAATTAATTTTAACAAATTAGAGTGAATTAAGGAAACTGAATATTCTTAAGAGATTCCTTAATTCATGCTAATTAATAATTATCTTAAATTAATTCAAATTTAATTGACACCCCTATTTCTGTTTTTTTTTCATTTTTTTCTTATTAATTACATATTATTAATTAATAATAATAAAACCATAAATAGATTAATCATTTATTAAATAAATGGAAATTGATTTTTAAAATCAGATTTTTGAATTAATTTTAATAAATTAGAGTGAATTAAGGAAACTGAATATTCTTAATTAGTTTGGATCCCTTATTTCATGCTAATCATTAATTATCTACAATAAATTCAAATTAAATTACAACCCACAATTTCAGTTTTTTACTTTATTATTTCTAATTTCGTTTTTTTTTTTAAATTTTCGTTTATCTTTTTATTTATTTTTAAATTTTTTTTCCAATTAATAAAAACATTTTTTTTAACTTGTTATAACCTGAAATTTTTTATGCTATAACTTGAAAGTCTAAATCTACTGTTATAGCTTGAAAATAGTTCTATAATATATGTCATATATGAAATTTACACATCATTAAGAGCAGAAGTTTGACAATCATTTTAACTACCAACGTTTAGTCTAATTTATTAAATATTAGATAATAAATTTCTCTGATATTTTTGTTTGAAAAAGTAAAAACATTTCATAATAAATTTCATCTTTTCTACCCCACCTAACATCTCATAATAGAGAGTTTTTTTTTTCTTTACTATTCCTAACATTTTATTATAATTAAGTCTTTTTTACTATTTCTTTTAGTTAAAATATTCACAATTTTTCGAGTCTTCTTCTCCACCATCTTCAACTTCAGGTACTTATCATCTCCCCCCTCCCTCTTTCCTTTCTTTTTTAATATTAAATGTGCTCAAGTAAAAACAAGGTTCAGTGACTTTTGATAGCAGATTATGATGCGATTCAACATATGTATCAATTTAGTTATGCATAATAGTTAATTTCACAAGATAAATACTTTTATTATAACATCAAATTTGCAAGATTTTATAACTTCAGTGAATGAGTAATTACTTTTTATTTTTATTTTTTTATGTTATGATTTTTATTTTATAACACAGAGAAAGTTCAATAGTATATGTGCTATTTAAAATCTATCATCTGCAATACAAAAATTGTATCCAAAGTCACTGGCATAAGTTACTCTTTCATTCAACACTGCCAGTTATTCAGTTTAGAATTAGACCAACATCAAAGGTCAGCTAATTTCACTTTTCCCGGATCAATATCTCCAATCCAGTTTCAGCAAAATGCAAACGACTTTACGGAATGCAATTTCCCTTGCCAATTATGACAGTGAAACACATCTAATACAAGTAGTATTTCGACGAGATCCATGCTGGTGTTTTAAACATGAATCTGAAACACAGGAAATTGTAAAAACCTCCTTGGAGAATGGAGAAGTAACTACTTAAATAAGAAAAAGCAAAACCTCTTAAGATGAACAGATACTGCTTAGGACATTTTAAGAGCCAATGGGGAACTCTTTGCTATGACAACTATCTTTGTTGAAGTCCTTCATTCGCGGAAGATAATGAACAAAGAAATTATCCTGTGAAATGAAAGTAATGAGAAGTGTGTCATATATTCATAAAAAGTTCTACTGTCTAAAACATGAAAATAAAACCAGCATTGCATAACATAAACATTATTCTTTTATGAAACCATTAAGAAACTTATATAGAGATTGATCAAAAGAGCCACCATTTGCTTACTTACCTTGAACTTCCAAACTTCGTGCAGCCACGTCACCACTAAAGCAAAATGTGCCAATCTGAATACCTTATAAATAGATTTCAATGGCACCTGACATCCATTCCATTCAGTATCTTCATCATAGCACATGAATAGATATGACAAATACTTCTTATTTCATACGTGTTGGGAGAGGGGAGGGGTCAGACTTTCATAGAAAGTTAAATACCAAGTCCTGATGAGAGTAGTTATCAGATTTTATTCGTCAAATAAAAAAATTGCAAAACATGTCCATGAAAAGACAGGCTCATTGAACACCCTACACACTTTGAATATTTTGATGTTTCATATTATATTATAGAGTTCAGTTCCCGGAAAAGGTTGTTCAGTACCATAACAAGACCTGAAAGGAGGTAATCTCATTTTGCACTTCCAGTAAATTTTAATCTGTAAAAGGAAATAAACTTTAGAGCAACCTGTGCAATGCATTTGAGTCATTGTTGTGAGCACCGGTTGAGTTACTTGTTCCTATCTGGTCAGTCTGTGCATAAAAATAACTTCAAAAACAAGAAATTTTTTCCTTTTCAGGGATGATATAAAAGAAGTTACCTATAGAAGATCGAGTTGGAAAAAAAAGGTTCAAGTAAAAATGGTGGTTCCTCTATGGAACATAACAAACCCCGTTGTATCATGAGATAAAAGGAATGTAAAAAAGAACTTTATAAACTTGTTATAGCATTCCTCTAACAACTAAATTAAAATACCTAACGTGATTGCTGCCCATGGATTTTGACTTGATATATCACAACGACGTTCTACCATGACCTAGTATCTAGTAACCTATGAGCAGAAACACAAATTTACATGATTAAGGCATGCTGGGACCTCCAAAAATTGGTTCCCAACAGAAAGAAAGACAAAAAAACTGGTAGATTACTAAAGAAACAAGATAAGCTGAAGAAGAAATTCATTATTCTTATTGCTGGAATAGAAATAAATTTACACGATGGTCTAACAATTTCCTAAACTAACTCCAAAACATGGGGAGATAATGCTAAGCCTAAAAACACTGCTAGAGAACTAGTCAAATAGTAAAAGAGCAGCAGTAAACTGATGGTGAAAATCAACAGTAACTAATGACTAATAAAACAGTAATTAACTAATTTTATCTAACAGCTGTACAAAGTGACTTATGCACTGATAATTACAAAGTTTCTACAAATTCTAAAATGAAAATTTACCTAACGTAATTACCTGTAGTTCATGTGATTTGTCTTGATTTACCACAACAGCGTTCTAGCATGACCTTGAAAGTACTAACCTATAAGGAAAAAACACATAAATGTTCATGATTGAATCATTATCAAGATATACCACACTTGAAGAATTAGAAGAACAACAAATTGAAGAAAGCATAGCACATATGCAATTGATTGATACTTTGCATTTATAATGTCAAAATAATTGCAGGAAAAAGTAGGAATATTAAATTGCATACATAAGTTCTTTTCTGGAACTCGTGGAAAATAATATTTAAAAAATCGACTCGGAAAGTGAAAGAGAAACAGAGACTTACGTCTGTCCTGAATTATGCTTCCATCTACTTCAATTTTTGGAATATGGGAAATGTTGGACCACTGGGAGTTTGCTCTACTCTGATTGGTGCAACTTTCTTCTAACTGTGGGCAGCCATAAATTCGCAGGTTCCATAATTTAGTGAGGCGTCGCATGGCATCTCTGGATGGCAGATGATCTAGTTTTTCACAGTTCCAAAAACTTAACTGTTCCAAAGAAAAAAGGTGCCGAGCCCATCCGACATGCCTTCTAACAATGGACAATCATACATCCACAGATACCGTAATTTGGGTATGGCATCTGAGAAGTCCAGATGTTGTAGCCGTTTGCACCTCATTAGTTGTAATGTTTCAAGAGAAGTGAGGTTGTCAAGACTATGAGGAAGAGCCTCAATTCCGAAATCATATATATAGATATGTGTTAGGTGAGAGAGTTGCATAAGCTGACTGGGCAGAGAATCCCACTGCAAACGTCCGTACACACACAACCTACGAAGGGACAACAGCTGCTGAATGCCATTAAAAATCAATTGGAATGCCTCAAAATTCACCATCTCTGAGAAAGGACCAATTCGCAATATCCCTAGGCGGTGAAGGTCCCCTGAGGGTAAAGGGAAGGGAACTAAGTTGTTACAATGGAAGACATTCAAAGATACCAAAGACAGACAATGATCTAGCATTCCACTTGGTAAACTGGTCAATATATCACAATAACATAACTCAAGACTTTGGAGGGAAGTCAAATAATTCTCTCCACTGGGAACAGGAAAACAACTGAAATTGGTGCAGCTGGTAATCTCTAACCTCTTAAGAGAATGGAGATTGTACAAGCTTTGTGGCAATTCACGAAACTCTCCACATTCTGAGACCGATAGGTGTTGAAGAGAAACGTTGTTGCGTAGCATCTCATCGGGAAGACACGTGAGCTCTTTCACGTTACTGAAAACAAGATCCACAAGAGATGTTAAGTTGCTGCACAAGTTCAACAATGGCATTTCACTGTCAACTCTTTCAATTCTTAATTCACGCAGGATTTCAAATTGAGTTGGAGTACTTTTTAACAGTGGACACTCTGTAATCCTCAACTTCTCAAGCCCAGGAAACATTCTTACTCTAACTTCATCTCCCTTCCACTCAATAAGGCTATGCATATCCTCCAATACTAGTTCTTTCAATGACGGGAACACTTGGATATTGTCATTATTGCTGTGTGATCCATTATCATTAATCTCAACACCATAAAATTTAGGTCCGATGCATTCCAATTCAAGGAATCCTATCAACTCAAGATGCCGAAGGAACTTCAGTTGGCCAAGCAATGGAATTTCTTTGCACCTTTTGCAACAACTTAATTTCAACTCGACCAAATTTGGTAGCAATTCTTCACTGAACCATGAAGGAAAACTAGTCCCCAAATAGTTCTCCATTTCTAAGTTTTTCAAGTTAGGATGCGGTTGAAGACCATCCAACACACACTCATCATTGATCTCACAGCTTTCTGATTCATCGTGGGACCATAAATACACTAGCTGGTAGATATTTGGTTTCTCATGTAAATATGTTGTTCGAGCCTCATCTGTATTTCTGACTAATTGGAGACCTTTGATAGTCAATTCACCTCTAAGGTTTTTCAAATGACCTAATTCTTCTATTCGACGACCTTTCTCCAAACCTACATAGAAAAATGGTAGCGTCTGAAGACTAGTCAATTGCCCCATATTAATTGGCATCTGAATATCTAATTGGTAATGATAGTTGCAATATATGTGTCTCAAACTTATCATATTTTCCATTTCTTCTGGAAGCTTCCTGAGTGAAAAGCAGTTATTGACTCTAAAAGTTTGCAAATTGTAGAGCTTGCAAATGGAGTTGGGTAAGTCTTCGATCTCAATGTTGGAGAGATCAAGATATCTCAAGTATATTAGCTTGCTGATTTTGGTTGACAACCCCTCGATGCCTGATCCGGACAAATTTAAAACTCTCAAAAACTGAACGCTCAATAGCATATCATCAGATATGTTGCTTTTCCAGAACAATGTGCACAAACGTCCTGGCTCATTTATCTTATCTATTTGATCACTTGGTGAGTCCCATCCAAAGTATCGAACTTGAGAAAGATTTTCTGCTCCAACACTCTTTTGATCAAATAACTTAGACTTTAAAATATCTCCAGCCAAATCATGCACAAGATCATGCATCTTACATATTGTATTGTTGTGCACATCTAGCTCAACATTTAGCAGCAAGGAATATTGCAATAAGAGTTGGAAAAACTTGTTCCCGACGTCTTCCATCACAGGGGTCTCTTGACAAGGACGAAGAAACCCTTCTGCCATCCAGAGTTGGATTAGTTGGTCCTTCTCAAACTCAAAATCTTTTGGAAACATCGCAAAGTAAGCAAAACATTTCTTCAGATGTGGAGATGGTAGATAATCATAGCTGAGTTTTAGGATTTTCTTTATGCTATTTTCCCCGTTATCATCTTCACCTGCAACAAGGGGGTTGCCATCAAGAATTGCATGCCATTCATGTTTATCCTTGTTGCATATGAGGCCTCCCAACACACTTGCAGCCAATGGTAGACCTTGACACATTTCAACAATCTTGTTCTCCACAATCAGTATTTCTTCTGGAACTTCCCCATCAACAAACGCTCTTTGTTTGAAAATGGACCAACAATGATCTCTAGCTAATCTTCTCAACATATGAAGATCTACTGCTATTGTGGATGCCACTTGTTTAATACGAGTAGTCACGAGAATGCAGTTTCCTTTGGACGTATTGATTCCTCTCAACGTGTCCATGAACTCATACCATGATGTAGAGTTAACACGCCACTTATCATCCAGGACAAGCAAATACTTTTTTTCTCCCAATTCATCTTGTAGCGTCTGGACTATTATATCTCTGCTTTGGACCTCAACTTTCTTCTTTGTCAGTGATTCGAGGATCAGTTCAAGAAAGCTTTTAGTTTCTGACATTTCAGGTAGGCACAACCAAACTCTCTTTTCAAACTGCTGCTTGATGTGTTCGTCATTGAAAATTCTTTTAGCCAGAGTAGTTTTCCCTAAATCCCCCATACCCACTATGGGAATGGTGCACAGAACAACATCCTCTCTCATGTTCAAAATCTTCTCCTTTATTGCAGCAACATCTTTGTCTCTACCAACAACATCAGAAGCAACTACTATGGAATCTGTTTCTCGAATTGGTAGTATTTTCCGAGAAGGAACCATCAGTGATTGGAGACCGAGGTATGTGGCTGACTGATTGATAGCCTTCAATTCTTCATTGATGTTGTTGATTTTTCGAGACATTTCGCTCTTAAAAGCAGCATGAGAAAAGAAACCATTAACCTTTTTCATTGGTTTGTTTCTGATCTTCACTTGTCTTTTGATAAATTCATATCTGAATTCGTCAAACACATTTTCAGCATTTTCAGCAGCTCTCTCAAGCCTCTTGAGCCATAGTTCCACAGCCTGATCCTCAACTTGTCGTCTTTCGGCATCATGAGTGAAAGCTTGGATTAAGGATATATTTTTTGTCAGCATTTCGAGATCTTTCTTCCAGTCCCTTGAGCTACTGAGTTCCTTAATAGTGAGAGAAAGCAGCTTTCCAAGCACAACTTGTATGGTAGCACCAATTACAGGGTCGGCCATTGTTGCGTTTGCTCCTTCACAAAGTCCACTTCTTCCTCTGCACCAAAGTCTTCCTAATGTTTTTTCCAAGTCCTCTTTTGCTAGTTGTTTATGGGCCCACTAAAATTCATATACAATAGTGAAAAAAAAAGAGTACTAGTCATGAATCCAATGACACAAAGCAATTACGTGTATGATTAGAAGTCCTAAAACAGACAATAAGCACTTGACTTGGTTGGTAAAAAGTGAACATAAGCTATTTATTTAGTTAAAATACTCTTAAATTTTTTAGAACACTTACAAATTTAACCAATATGTAGATAACAAAGAAGTTAGGGGATTTAGTTACCGAAAAAATAAAATAAAGGCACACATACACAAAAATGGAGACGAACCGGGATAACGTCCGATCTTGTTTCTGGATTGAGAAGAAAGGGGCTATATGAAGTTCGTTCTCTTCATCTGTGCATCTCTGTGATGGGTAAATCTCCATAAAAAAGGGACAACTTTCGTGTAGTTTGTGATTGGATGTAACTGTTAAGATTTTCTCTAGAATAAATCTTTCTCTTAATAGATCTCTTCTTATTCCTCAATCTGATCGAGATGAGGTAGATGCCTCTCAGCTGGGGGGCGGATCGAATCGGAGTTTCCTTAGGTAGCCACCGACCTACAGTTATCCTTAAACTTCCGTGCTTGGTGGAGAAGAAGCGAACAAAAGTACGCTCGCTTGCTGTCTTGTTCTCTGAACCCCTCAAACTTGCCTTCATTTTTCATTTTGGCACTCCAACTTAGCCTTATTCTATTTTAACCCTTAAACTCTATTTTTTCTGTACCATTTAAACACTTATAGTAATTTTTATGATTTGTTTTTATTTATGTTCTTCAATTGCAATTTCTTATATTAAAAATAGACGTGTGCCTGTTAATTTTCGTAAAAAAGTAAACATTCGCGAACGAACATAAAAATTTTCAAACAATAATATTATTTTTTGAAATTTCTCTGTATTTTTGCATGAAAATAAATTGACAAAAGTTCTTTGATTTTCTTTCTTAAACATTCAATTAAATTAAATAACACTACTTATTTATTTTTTCTTATCATCTAGTCTATCTAAATTTAACGCAAATACTCACTTTTAATTTTTAATATAAATCAATACGAATAAAAAAACCCATCTTCAAAAAGACTCGACTGACTTTGTTAATAACACTACTAAAAAAAAGGCTCTTGTTCATTGCTAATAACACTACTAAACAATGTTAAAACTCGATTGACTTTGTTAGGTTGTCGGTGATTTTAAAGAAAGAAAATCAACACAATTTCGTTGGTTATTTTTCACACAAAAATACATAACACTCTTAAAAAGAAATTATTATTTTTTAAAAAGAGTTATTTTTTGTTAATTTTTAATTTTTTAACTAAAATTAACTGACACATGTCGATTTAAAATAAGAAGTTGCAATTGAAGAATATATATAAAAATAAAGAAATCATAAAAATAGTATTTCGTGTTAAAATGGTACATAAAAAATGGAGTTTAAGAATTAAAATGGAACAAGACTAAAATAAAGTGCCAAAATGAAAAATGCGGACAAGTTAGAGGGGTTGTATATGTGTTTGGCCTAAAATAAAGTTAAAGGTGTTTTGTTTTGGTATGGATTTTTGGAGAATTAAATTTTATTTTTTTGGAACCCCAGAATAATCTACAGTCGCTATAATCTCTGTCACAGCCTTTACCCTTCGGGTGAACACTTTGTGCGCACCGTCTAAACCTTCACTGTATAATAGCCTGCACACCACACAGAAAATGTAAACCGCACTAGACCAGCCCCTCAACTCAGAAAGCATTGAGGGTGATCAATTGACCGCCTTCCAAACCAACTAAGTCATCCTAAACGACACAAAATTAAAAGTTAAAAAGATAAAATAATAAAAATCTTTGTCAAAATAAAAGTGTCTAATTAATCAGCTTATAAATTTAGTCAAACTTGCTCCAAAAATCGTCATTTTGAGTTTTCATTTTAGGGCTCTTCAGTATTAAGGCTCTTGTTGTTCCAATTGGCTAGTAAAATCTAAAGCAACTTCATCTCTGCTCAATATCCATATGATATGGAGAGCTGTGCGGCCTGAAATCACAAATGCGAAATTCAGATTGCAATTCTAAGGCATTAATGGCAGAATCATGAGAGTAGCTAGGGTTAGAAAATGAAAGAAGAAGAAGAAGAGAGGGGGAAAACAATACCGGTCCAAAACTAATTGCCCAAGCCTAATCCAACTGGAATTGACAGTGTAATTTGGGCGTAACATGTTAAGATTCCAGATTGGCAAGAGTATGAGGAAGAACATGGATTCCGAAATCAATTATTCTCAGCTGCAGAATACCATCAATTGTAAGCACTTCATTACTAAAAAAATTGCAAATTGTACAATTTCTGCAATTTCAAATCATCATTCATCTCAGAGTCTTGTGATTCATGTTGCCTGCTGGCACCATAACTTTGGTTCTTGACTTAATATTACATGTGACACTCTTTTATATATCTGTATTTGAAATTATTAATTATTTTAATTTATAATATTCTTTACATAATTTAAATTATATATATTACTCTATTTGTTCCTAATTATGTGTCATAGTTAGAATTTTAAGAGTCAATAATTTTTTTTATATGTTTTGTAAATATTTCAAGTCATTAATTATTGAGACTTATGTACTTTTGACGTCATTTTCACATAATACATGTTATTTTCTATATCCCATTTTATGTGACATCGATATTCTAATTTCTTTGACACAGATAGAATTTCGAGAATTAATCCATTTTATTTTTTTGATATTTCAAATTGTTAATTATTATAATTTATATATTCTTTTACGTAATTTTTAAATATATAGCGAACTGGGAAAAAATTAAAATGAGAATATTGCAAAAAATAACTTGGATAAAAGGCATGTGACGTACAATTATATGCTTTTAAACCTTTATTAATAGGGAAAAGAACACTTATACACGAAAAAGTAAAATATTTATCCTTAAATATTTCATTACTTTTATGCTGTCTTTTATTTTAAAATGACATATAATTCATGAGATGACATCATGCTGATGTCAGTGTTCATCCTTTTTTCCCCTCTATTACAATAATAATATATGATCTTACTCTAATGGTATCAAAAGTAATTGATTAGTGTCTTCATTGAAGAATTATGTCTTCCTCCTTGATACCATCAAAGTTGAACCAATCGGCAGCCCCCTAAAGTTGACTCCAATTTTCACTTAGACATCTCAAGTTGGCTTTGTCCATTTTAAACACCTCAAGTAGGGGTCCGCTGCATTTTGACACTTTTTGACAATCAACTAAAGGCTTAAGCCAATTGTGGCCCCTTAAAGTTGTCCGCATAATTCACTTAGATACCTTAACAAACCTTGTTTCCTATTAGACACTCCAATCTTAAAAAATAAGTTCCTATTGAGCATTTTTCTGATACTTACTCTAAAGAGAATGTGTGTGTAATACACATGCATATGATGTGGCAAAATGATGAATCAAATGAAGACACGTGACATTTTAATTTAAAATAATTATAAAAATGAATTTTGAATATAACAAAATCCTAAAAGAAAATACTTTAAACTAAAAATAAATTATACACCCCCTAACCCTACCCCCGCACCCCACCCACTTCAAACCTCTCCATTTCTTCTCTTTCCCTAACTGTTGTCTGGTCCACCATTGTTAACCTCTATTTAGAAAAATTAGAGGTTTTAACATATATTATAAAATGATTTATCATTTTTATGTCTCTTTATGCCTTCTTTCTTATTTTCATTTAAATTGATGGTGTTTTCTTGAAAGATCAGTTTTTTATTTAAATTTTGATTTCATTTTCTTTTGTTCGATTTGTGAGGAAGAAGGGGTGTGTGTGGGAGAGGTGAAGAGGGAGAGAGTAAATATTTGAATAATGATCTTCATTTTTTCCGGCAAAGTAGATAAATGGTCTCCATTTTTCCCAGCAAAGAAGACGTACATAATAATTCCATTTTATCCGACAAAGAATTGGTGATCTCTATCTTTTTTCTGGAAAAAAAAAACGGAAGTAAGCAATGATAAGATGATTTAAAAAAAAAGAAGAAGAAGGAAATTTGTGGGGAAAAAATGGTGATGGATTGTATTGAAGAAGTGGTTGGAGTAGGTGTGTGATTTTGAAAGAGAGGAAGAAGAAAAAGATTGTTATTTTTTTTAAAAAAAAAAGAGAAATATAAAGAAAAATTGAAAAGGAAAAGAAAAAAATGTTAAAATATTGATTTCACGCGCTTACCAAGACGTGAATTACACTTTTTGTGCCACATTTGCATAAAATGTCTAAATGGTTCAAATCCGAGAGGGTAGAGGTGTTCAATAGGTACTAGTCCTAGTTGAGGTGTCTAAGTGAATTATGCAGATAACTTTAAAGGGCCGTAGATGACTTAAGTCATCAGCTAAAATTACAAAAGTGTGTGTAATACACTTGGGAATGATATGACATGATGACTAATTAAAAGTTGACATGTGACATTTGAGTGTAAAAATAATAATTTTAAAATAAACTATTAAAAAGCAACTAATTTTTCAGCAAAAATAAATAAATAAAATTACCTATTTTCTACCATCCCACCCCACCTTACATCACCCCACCCCTACCCCATCTGCCTTACGTCCTTTTTGCTTCCCCAACCCTACATCCATTTTTTGGTTCTTCTTCCAAAAAAGATTTAAAAAAATTATTAGATTTTAGGTTTTTTTTTTCTTTTTTTTTTATTGTGAATTTGATTTTGAAAATCATATATGACATTCTTCTTCTACTTTTTTGAAAGAAAAAAAATGTGTCTTGTTCTAAAAATCTTTTTAAATTACTGTGATGATTTTTAAAATTTTTGTTCTTATAAACGTTTTTAAAATTAGTTTGATAGTTTTTTTTTTTTTTTTCATATTTTGTAAGGTTTTTTATCATGATTTTTCATGGTGGAAGGTGGAATAA